CCCGGAGAGCCTGTTCAAATGCAGATTCCTGGGCCTGGTCTCAGGGCTGCACTGTCCTAGGAGTCCAACAGTGTGGCTGACATGGCCCCACTGTGTTGTTCTCATCTCACTAACCCAGTTGGCTAAAAACTCCTGTGCGGGGTCACCAAGTGCTGCGAATGCCTTGCCGTGGGAGTCTCTGCAATATTCAACCTGGTCATTTGGGGGCCACTTTCCCAACTCTCAGTGCTGCTTGTTTATCCTCTAGGGACCAAAAAAAGGGTGATTTGGCACCTTGATTCCTTGATTTTGATAAGTATCTACTTAAATGCCAAGCCTTGTTTACCCCAAGGCTGCCCCTGCCAAGAGTTGGGATTTCCACGACCCATCCACGGTGGACCTTGGCTGGATACCAGACCAGGCAAGACTGTAGTCCCAACACATCATCACTGATTGATGATGTTACTTTCCTGTGGCTGCTGTAACACATTGCCACGACTCAGAACTCTGAAATCGTTATTACTGGGCCAAAATCAAGGGGAATCTGTTTCTTGCCTCTTCCAGCATTCATTGACTCGTGGCCACATCATTCTAATCTTCAGGCCAGCGTCTTTAAATCTCTCTCTGCTCCATCTCACACCCACTTCTCCTCTGTATGTGGTCAAATCTCCTTCTGCCTCCCTCCTACAAATACCCTTGTGATTAGATTTAGGGCCCGCCTGGATAATCAAGGCTAACTGCCCAGCTTAAGATCCTTAATTTAATCACATCTGCAAAAACCCCTGTCAAAATAAGATAATATCCTTGGGTTCCAGGAACTAGGACCTGATATCTCTCGGGGACATTATTTGGCCCAAATGCCCCCAACTCTGCTGTCCTTCAGAAGATAACTCACTAAGCCTCTGTCTTGTTTTCTCCAGGCATTTGGGCATGTAGCCCAGTACCTGGAACAGTCAGGAAGTCAATACACGTTTGCTGAGTAAGTGGAAGTGGCTCTAACTAGGAGTAGGGAAGGAAGAAGGACAAGAACATGAACACAGAATCTGAAAATTGTGGGACGGAATCAGAAGACTGAAGTTGTGGGGGACATATTTGGATGTCACGTTAAAGAAGTTGGACACTGTCCTGTAGGCAAGAAAGAGCTTGTATGAGGTCCTTGCACAGGATGACTCATTCATTCACTCTATACTCGACAGCAATGTACAGGGCTCGGCTCCGTGGGGGGGTTGAGGACAGGTTTCCTAGAAGAGATGGTATTGAACAGCTAGCTCTTTCTCCCACCAGAGCTGGGTTTTTGTAAGTTCTCCTATTATTTCTTTCTTTCCTTTTTTTTTTTTTTTTTTTGAGACAGAGTCTCACTCTGTTGCCCAGACTAGAGTGCCGTGGCATCAGCCTAGCTCACAGCAACCTCAAACTCCTGGGCTCAAGCAATCCTCCTGCCTCAGCCTCCCGAGTAGCTGAGACTACAGGTGTGTGCCACCATGCCCAGCTATTTTTTCTATTTTTAGTAGAGACGGGATCTCGTTCTTTCTCAGGCTGGTCTCTAACTCCTGGCCTCAGGCGATCCTCCCACCTCGGCCTCCAAGAGTGCTTGGATTACAGAGTTCTCCTACTATTTCTAACCATTATTGCTGTAAGTGTTCGGCTTCTAGATTTTCTGGCACATTCAGATTTATGATGATTAAATTTTTGCGGACTGTGCCTGGCACAATTACCTCACACCCCTTTCGTTCCTGTGAATGTTTTCTGCCCTGAATCCTGCCTTATCCAATATTAATTTGCCATTTTTTAAAATTCGACTTTGTGAATGTTCACTTTGAGCTTCTATTTGTCAACATTTTTGATGTGTTTTTTGTAAATAAGCACTTACCTGGATTTTAATTTTTACCCCAATTTTACCCCTTTGGATGGGGAATTCAGTCCATTCGCATCATGAAAGCTGACAGTCATGGTCTTACTCATTTCACCTCATTGTATGTGTAATTTTATGAAGCTGTGCTCTTGCTGCTATTTCCCCTTCCTCAATTTTACTTCCTTACTGCTTCCCTCCCCCAACCCTGACTTCTACCCGTTAACTCAGAAGTCCCGCTCTGCTCCTTTTCCACCAGCTGCTGCTTTCCAGTTCCTGACAGTCACAGGTAAACCGATATTTCCTTGTGAATGCGTTAAAAGTAAATGTAACGATGTCCCCCACAAGGCTTTCCTGCAGGCTAAAAAGACTTTTGCTTATAGTATGCAGTTTATGCTTCACGAATCCTTACTTGGCAATTATAGTAGAAAATCACAGGTACATTCAGAGGAAACCATACTGTATATTTTTCAAGGTTAACTGCTTACCACAGTTTCCTGTTCTGGGCATCTGCTCTAGCTTGAGATCTCCGCTGTGATTGACCATCCTGGAGAAAGGGGAACTCTGTGGGTATTTTCCTCTGAAAGGAAGCGTGGCTGCGGGCCTCTCTCTGTCTTGCCACGGTGGATGTTTTCTTCCCTTTGTGCTGACAGATGAGTCCCACCAGATAGAAAAGGGTACTGTAGAAGCTGAGTACCACTCAGACTCCCCATCTCTGTAGGTGACCTGTTCCATCTCCACCCCTGCGAGATTTTCTCTTTATCCCTGTGTTCTGCCTTTCGCACACAGCTTCAGCCCAGGGGCATTTTCTTCTAGTATTCTGTTCATCTCTGTTTCCCCTCCAGCTCTTTCTGGACTTCCTGTTCTTTGCATGATTCATCTCCCAGAACTGTCTTTTGGGTCTCTCCTTCTTTTCCCCATGGTGTCCATGTGTTTTTTCTACATACTATATGGTATTTATTCCATATTAGCTTCCAGTTTGCTAATTGGTCCTCGCCTCCACTGTTCTCTTTCTGAACTTGCTATTGCTTTTTCAGTTTTTTGTTCTGTTTTGTTTTGTTTTTTACTTTTTTTGTAGAGACAGAGTCTCACTACATTGCCCAGGCTGTTCTGGAACTCCTGGCCTCAAGCATTCCTCCCACCTCGGCCTCCCAAAGTGCTAGGAGCCACCTTGCCTGGCTACTCTTTTAGTTTTTAAGCTCCACGGAGGATGTGAAATGCTGTGTTCTGATTGAGGGTCCGCAAGCAGTTTTGTGCATTTTTGTTAAGTTTCTTCTCTTCTTTTAGTCTTCTCCAAGAGGAATTGTTCAATCTGTCCTCTTCCTCTGCTTACTGAGGCCCCTGAAGGGGTTTGTGAGGAGTCTTAGCTTCTCTGGGACTGTGTGCTCAGTGCCCTGAGGACGAGGCTATGTGGGCTCCTGGGCAGTGGCCAACCAGCAGGTGGTGGTTGACAAGTTTATATGTGCCCTTGGGGATGAGGAAGGATGAGTTGACAAAGTCCTGCCCGGCTGCTGAAGGGGCCTCTCTACCCTCAGACTCACAGGTTGAGCAGGGCTGCCGGCTCCCAGGGTGGGCTGAGGGAGCCATTCAGGTGAGCCCTCAGCCCTCGAGCCAAAGGAGAGGATGGGGGTAATGATGGGTAGTTTGAAAATAAAAGAAACTCATCTAATTGGTTTTCAAAGAGCCTCTAAGTTTCACCAGATAAATAAGACAGCAAATCCTTCTCAAGATTAAGAAACAAGAGATATCCAATCTCATTGGTTAACACAGAAGTGCAGGTTACAATTGCAGAGGCCACTTGTAGTTTTCCGTATTGCGAAAGGGTTAAACAAACAACAGCAAAAAAGAATTCCCAATGCAGTGTGTGCCCTCTCAGAGGGAACCACACTGAGAAACTCGTTTCGGAAGAATGTAACTACAGTTCTGGACAAGCCATTAGGATCCAGGGCTTCTGCTTGGATCCTAAGAAGTCTTTTTGAAGTTTGGGCAAATAACTATGTCTGAGCCTCAATATTCTTATCAATTAATTGAGTCCAATGCCACCTGCCTCCTTGGGTCGCTAGGGTTGAAATGGAAAACCTGGATGTGTGAAACATGTGAAAGCCCTCAGACCAAACCTTGGCAGAGCTGGGGCTGCCCAGCGCCGGACTCCTTCCTCCTCTGTGAGCCTCAGAGTGTTACATGAGAAGAGGGGAAGGGGCCATGGAGGCAGCTGGACAATCGAATGAGGGGACTGCCGCTTTGACAAAAGTTCCCAAGGTAGTGTGTTCAGTGGACAGAGCTCATCTCCAAAAACCTCTGGAATATTTGTTCCCAACATGTTAGTAAGTGCTATCCCTGGCAGTCACTCTGAGCTGCAGTTTCTGCAGTGACACCTAGGACAGGTATCTCAGGTTGGCTGTGGGACCAGAGATAGAGCAGACAGGGCCTCACATACCCGAAGGCCTGTCACAGGACAGACCTTCACCCTTATCTCCAAACCACGCCTCTCAGGCACGCCAACAGGACGGAAAGAAGAGGGTTCCAAACTGCCTGAGCCTCGCGTCACTCTCTGGGCTAACATCTACCTTTAAACGAATCCCACAATTACCTTGTGAAAAGCTTGCTACGTTGCATTTTGTGCATTCAAAGCAGCACTCGGCTGCACTTACACACTTAAATGGGCCAATTTTTCCATCCCTGCCGCTGTATCAGGGGAGTCCTCTGTACCTAGGAGCGCCGGAACATAGTAGGCGTTCAAACGTGTTGTTAATACTACCACAGCAAATAGAACCAATCTGGGGCCCTCGGTGCGGAGTGGCGGGTGAGAGGCGGCCGGAGCTTTGTCCAGGTGTCCAACCACCTGCTGCAGAATGCGGCGACCCGCCTCTCTAAGCAGCGGGACGTCCCGGGGGCGGGGCGGGGCGGGGCCGGCGCCCGAATCCGTTCGGAAACTTTCGCCGTGGGCGGGCCGTATCGCCCTCCCGGCGCTCCGGGGCCCAGCGGCGCAGGGGCCTAGTGAGCCGCAGCCCGGCAAGACGCACCACGATTGGTGGAGTCGCGCGGTGATTGGCGGGCACGCCGGCCGCTCAGCGGGCCGATCCGACACTGCATCCCTGGGGCCGTATCCGGAGTGGCCGGCAGCCGGCGGCCCCGCCCCTGCCCCGCCCCCGCGCGCTGGGGTCCGCGCTAGCCGGCTCCCAGGCCCCAGTGATCGCTCCTCTCCCGGCCCCTCCGACTGCTCCCGAGCGGCGGCTTCTGGGCGGCTCCAGAGCAACTTTGCGGTCGGCCCGGAGGCTCGAGAGTGTCGTGGGGCCGCGCGCGGCCCACTCGCGGGCCGGTGAGTACTTCGGGGCAGAGGTCAGTCGCGCGGCGGCTGTGGGCAGCGCACAGGGGGCTGGGCAGAGAGCTGCCGCACGCCTCGGGCCTCAGTTTCCCATTCTGAGCTGATAGTGGCTGGTCCCAAAGTCCTCGGCAAGTTCCCCAAAGTTGGAGGGCCGGGAGTCCCGCCCGCTGCGCGACGCCGAGGGAGATGCCTGGCCGGGTCCTCCCTGGGGATCCCCAGCCCAGTGCCCGGGGTCGTGGACGCCGCGACCCCGAGCACGTCCACGCCCGCAAGCCTCGCCGCAAAGCCCCGTGCGGGCGGGAAACAAGCCCTAAAGCGAGAGCGGCCGGTGGGCTGGGGCCAGGCGGGTGGCGGGTGGGTCGCAGGCGGGTTCCCCTCCCGCGCCCCCCGGCGCCCGCCCGCCCCGCCAGTTGCCCCGTCATGCCCTTCCTTCACGGCCATCGGAACCCAGGGCTGCCCCTCCTCCGTGCCCGCAGTGCCCCTGGGAGGTGCCTGGGCCCCCAGCTGAGGCTGCGTGGGGATGGGCATTCAGTCCGCCAGGGGAGGACACGGCCCGCCCGAGGGGCAGCCTCTGGGTCACGCTGAACCCCCACAGCACACTTAGGAGCCCTGTGACAGTTCCTCCCTTGCTCCAGGCTGCTTCTCGGTATGGGGGGCGGGTACAGCCCCTAGACCCTGCCTGGTGTGAACCCCGCCCTGGTATGAACCTAACCCTGGGAATCGTTAATTTTTGATTTGATAGGTGGAAACTTTCTGGAGAGTGTGACCCAGCCCTTTCGGGTGTGATGGAGTCCGGTCCTCCCTCCCCATTTTTTGTAGTTGATGTTATGAAATTCCAAGGAACTAGCATTTGTATAACGCCCCCCCCTCCACCCGCGAATATTTAACCCTGGAAGTAGTCTTAGGAGTAGGAGTTACTGAGGAAGCTCAGCAAGGTTTGGTCCCTGCCCAGGACCACGCAGCTGGTCAGGGCAGAGCCTGGTGCCAGACCTCTGCCTCCCTTCTCCCCAGAGTGCCCTGCCTCCCCTCACCTTGGACGATGACCCCTGGCATTTGGCCCAGGGCTTTACAGTTTGTAAAGGGCTTTCCCTTCTGTCAGGATCCATCACTCATTCCCAGAGCTGTGCCCTGGGTACCCTGTGTGCTGGCTGCCTCTTCTCTGCAGCCCCATGAGGGACCCCACGGGAAGCCCAGAGGCCACCCTTTCCACTGTCCCCTCCTGTTTACTTCTGTCTCCAAGGGGCTGTGATCCCCCACGTGAGTGCCTTTGTGTCTGACTAGGATTTAGGGCAAAGTTGCTCTATATTCCAGCCCCTTTCCTCCTGCCCTCCCTACTGTCCTCCCCTAGGCACAGGAAAGGTTGGCTGTGAGACCCATCTCACCTCCTTCCCCAGGATGGGAGAGTATGCGGGCAGGGGCTCCCTGACTTGGGTCTCCCCTGCCCATCCCAGGCCAGGGATAGACAGGCCTTGGAGGCTGGTCACAGAGGAGAACGCCAGAAATGCCTGCATTGCAGGATGGACCCGAAACACCTGGCCATAATGGTGGTGATGAGCATCCTAATAGGTAGGGGCTTTGTGCTTTGTACAGCACCTTCTCCTCTCACATCCCCGCCTCAGGAAGTGGCGCCACCACTGCAGCCCCCAGCCACAAACCAGGCCATCCCCTGCACTCCTCATTCCTCACATTCAGTTGGTGACCTGGCTCTCTGCTGGCTCCCAAGCCTCGCTCAGATGCCTGCTCTTGTTCAGACCTGTAGGGCCACCAGCCCTCCCTGGTTTTCCCAACCCCCTCCTGTCCCCACACGGCCCTGATGGTTCCTTAACTGCCACTTCCCTCTGTCCTATAGGGTCAAATCTGCCTCCTAAGCTGGCATGTGTTCCAGCCTTTGGGGACCTGCTGTGTTGCTCACTCACCCTCTTCTCTCCTTCCTGTGTCCCCTCCGCAATGGTCACATCCTGGCCACCTGTACTTTCCTGGCCACACTGCTAGTTCGTTGTCCCTCTGCTACATCTTCTTCTGGGCACATCCCCTGCTGGAATGCCCAGATGCCTCCCCCTGGCCCTTGCCTGCTCCTGCCTGCTTGTCCTGAGGCTCGGTCGAGGTCTCTGCAGAATTCCTGGCCTGCCCCTTGCTCGGTTGAGTGAGGCCTCTCTGCTGGTCTTTGTGGGTGTCTGTCTGAATGTTGCCCACCCTTAGCCTAGACCAAACTGCTCTAAGGCCAGCAGCCCTGGATGAGTCCTCTCTAGGGCAAGGTAGCCAGTACAGTGCCTGGCACAAGACAGACCCTCAGTCCGGGCATGGAGCAAGTGCGAGGTGTGCAGTCGGGGCTTGGCCACGCTGGCTGTCACCGTTGCTATCTGGGGCATTCCCAGATCGACTCCCTCTGTGTTCCTGTTAACGTGCCACAAGGAACGTGAACGTGAGTGGAGCTGGAATGTTCCTTCGTTTGGCCCTTAATACTCTGGGCAAAAATAGGTACCTGGAAGCCACCAAGGGCTTTTGTGCCCTTATCTTGAGGAGCAGCCCAGTGCCAGGGAGCTGGGTCAGGCCAGGCCAGAGCAGACATCACAGGCCCAGCACCCAGTGGGCCCCACTCCCTTAGGGCTTGGTCACAGATGGATTTTAAAATAACATTTTGCTTTAATTCCAAAAACATGGCACACTCATTATAGACAATTAGGGAAATACATTTAAAAGAAGAATAAATAAAACCACCCATAATCTTTACTCAGAGATAGGAAGTATCTCTTGGAGGACCTTTTCTCCCACCTTCTGCAAATAACTTTTGTTTTCATCCTAAACAGACTCAGGATAATATCTTAAGCTGCTTTAAATCCTGCTTTAAGAGTGTTATGCAGACATTTTCCTTGTGTTTAAACATTCATGTGCGAAGATCATGTTTAACAGCTGTATAGTGTTGTGCCACATAGAGGGCTGTAAGCTTTATAACCAGCCCATCTCTGGACAGTGCCAAAAAGTGCATTGTGATGGGCACCCTGTGTGCGAGCCCCGAGGGCGTCTCTGGTGACTCCTCTGGGCTGGCATCCTGCCAAAGGCAGAGGCACTGGTCCAAGGGAGCATGGACATCTCAGCGTCCCTTGGGGGCCTGTTTCTGAGAAACTGGCTGGGAAGGCGGGGCTGCCCCCAGGAGAGCAGAATGGGGTCGGCCTGGGTGAGGGTCAGCACTTTGGGCAGAAGGCCACATGAGGTCATTCTGCTTCTGGCCACAGTGGATATGTGGTCTGTGCAGCTCTCTCCCGGGGTGGCAGCCCCCAAACCGAGCTCCTTGGTGCTGGCCTTTGTGATTGGATGGGATAAAAATATGTGTTGGTGTTCATGGGGGAAGAATGCTGGTCACTCTGCTTTTTTGGATCTCACACAATGATGGCTTCCAAGTCACTGCTCTGGTCGTCAGGGGGCAGTTGGGGTTGACTGCCCCAGCAAGTAGGGAGCTGGGGCAGGGTGGTGCAGAGCTTGGGTGCGGCCAGGTATGCCGAATGCCGTGACATGGGGGAGGGACTTGCTTAGGGTCACACAGCAACATCATTCCCCAGATAGTGCTCCTAGGCCAGGCTGCCTCGGCCTTCCACCCTGTACACATCAAGTGCCTAATGTGTGCCTAGCAAGATAGCAGGCATTAAGAGAAGCAGTCCCTGCCCTCAAGGCTGCGTGTCATAGGCAAGGCTCTGAGAAGGACGAGACACCCTGCAGGCCCTTGCCCAGGGAGATCTTTTCTAATCTTCATTGTCCCTGTGACTGACCATGGCCAGGAGTCATTTTGTTCTGAAATAACAAGCCCTTTGATCCAAACCAGGCTTGGCCAACCCTCAGGGAGCCTGAAAATTAATCCTCCTGTATTCATCTGTTCTTACTAACCAGAGATTTTACTTTAAACAGTTTTATTTTGACCGTAGGGTGATGGGCATAGTACTTAGCCCAACAGGCCAGCCATAATAGAATCTGTTTTCCTGAAATTCCTTTTATGAAGTGTTTTTCAACTGAGCATGCCTTTATTTAACACCTGGGAGTATCAATTTAGGGCTTTTTTTTTTAACACCTTATAGCTTGCCGATTGCTTTCTCTTCCATCATGCTCCTAATTGCATAGCACCTCTACATCGGACGTGTTGTCCCCATTTTGCAGGTGGGGAAGTAGACACAATGGTCCAGTAGCTACTAGTAAGGGGTATTCCACTCCCCATGTTGCTTCTGGCTGTAAAATTGCATCCTGTTGGCCAGGTCCGCTCACACACCTCTCACGCAGGGAGGGCTCGGGCCAGGAGGTGACAGCCTGAGTGCTGTGTTTGCCTGACACCCAGGACTTAGGCAGCTTGGAAACTCCTGCAAAAGTGTCTCTTGAGCTCTTGACCTGAAGGATGTTTAGGCTCTGGACTGGAGGAGGGGGACAGGAGGGCAGTCCGGACAGAGGGCACCGAGAGACCGAAGTGTGGGAGTCGGCAGCGGCACGTGGGTGTTGACGAGTGGCCAGTGTTGTTCAGGGAACAGACCGGGAGGCTCACAGGGCTTGACCATGCTTTTGGTTTGCATCTGGGGGATGTTTTAAAATAAGGGCTGAGTCCCTCCAAGGGAGGAATGTCCAGATTGAAATCTGCAGAGTTCTTGAGTGGGCACAGATCTGATCTTTAGGACACATTTAGAATGGAGCAGAAATTGTTGTGTAGGGAGCCTGGGGCCACTCCTGGTTCTTCCAGTGGCCACAGTCCCCAGAAACGTCCCCTAGGCAGGTCCCCAGAAACGTCCCCTAGGCACCTGCTGGGGCAAGGCTCGGTGCTAGGTCTGGGTATTCAGAGACGGCCGGTACCCTGGCCCCCTGGTGCAGCTCACGGTCCCTGGTCTCAAGGCCCACTGTTGCCCCTAAGAGTGATGGTCCCCATCACAGCTGAGGGCAGAGAGGGACGTGGCCTGTCAGGACCCACACAGCTGGTGGGCACAGGTTTGTGGCAGGTTGGGGCTAGGAGCAGATTTTTAACTTCCAGCCTCCCCTTGCTCTGCACCACCAAGGATGGACATGGCCTTGAGTTTGGGGAGGGTCATTTGGGAATCTGAGGAAGAATTTCCTTGTGTCCACACAGCATGCATGCAGTCTGACAGTTTCAGAGGGTTGCCCCCCACCAGAGCATCGGGGGCCTGGGGCTGGGGGTCCTCCAGAGCTGTCAGCTGCGTGGTCTGTGGCCCATGGCTGCCCTTCTGCCCTTAATTGTGTGGATGGTGGTGTTTTTCCATGTTGCTAAGCAGCACGCGAGGGCCCTCTATTGAATAAAACAAAGCCCTTTCCCCTGTCCTGACACGTGTCAGAATCTCTGTGCACTCTAGTCTGTTCTAGCCCAACGTATTGCGTGCCTTAGTTTGCTTTTTAGTATGTGTTGATATCTGGGGCATCGAAGTTCTGTGACTTTTGTCCTGTGTTTTGGGCCTGGCGTGGAGGGCCCTGGACGGGGCCGATCTAGTTTTCAGTCCTGGCTCCCCTGGCCTCCCCTCCCTCAGTTTTCCTTCCCCTCTCCCAGTCTCCCCTCCCTCCCCCAGCCTCCCCTCCCAACCCCTTCTCACATTTATCTTTTATTCTGTACCCATGGATTCATTTCCTAGGGCTCCCATAAGAAATTACTAGAAACTTGGTGGCTTAAAAAAACAGAAATTTATTCTCTCCTGGTTCTGGAGGCAGAAGTCTAAAATCAAGGTGTAGGCAGGGTTGGTCCCTTCCAGAGGCTCCGAGGGAGGGTCAGTCCCTTCCTCTCTGTGGCGTCTGGTGGTGGCGGGCAGCCCTGGGCATAGCTGTGTCACTCTAGCCTTCACACGGCCTTCTCCCTGCCTCTGCTTCCCTCCTCTTTGTGTAAGCACACCAGTTAGTGGATTTAGGACCACCCTAATCCAGGATGATGTCATTTCAAGGTCCTTAATACATCTGCAAAGACCTGTTTTTCCAAATAAGGTCATGTTCACAGATATTGGTTGGCACATCATTTGGGGGCCCCACTCAGCCCCCCACAGCCAGGTGCTATGCTCAGGGCTCCATGTGGATGACCTGTGAGTGTTGTCATCATCCCCATTTCTCAGACAAGGACACCAAAGCAAGGTCACATGGCTCATGCCCAGTGAGGCAGGGACTCCAGGCCTCAAGATGTCAGGGCCTGAGACCGTAACTGCTGTGCAGTCTGTCGGGCTGGATGCCCTGGAGTGAGTGTCTTCCCTCGGTTTCCTCGTCTGGAGAGCTGGGCTGGGCCTGGGGGACGGGCTGCGGTGGGCTCACATGAGATCCCTTAGGAGTGTCCCCTTGCTTCCCTCTCTCTTTTCCAAACAGCAAGAGCTGGAGCTGGTTGGGCATTGCTGGCCCTGGCATGTGTCTGACCACGGCTTTTCTTACAGGATGGACTCCAGCGCCCCTCTGCTGGGCCCCTCCCACCCACAGACCCCGCCGGCACCGAAGCCCCAGGCCCGCTCCCGGCTCAATGCCACTGCCTCAGTGGAGCAGGAGGGCAGCGAAGTGCCCCAAGCTCCCGGGCCCCAGGCTGGCCCCGGCCCAGATGTGGGAGATGCAGCTGCCCCAGCCGAGCCCCGGGCCCAGCGCGCCAGGAGCCGCGACAGAGCAACCGGTAAGCCGTGGGGCGGGAAGCCCAGGCAGGGCTATATAGTGAAGGCAGGCTGGGCACGGAGCCCAGCCACCCCTGAGGCTTCCTGCCGCCCGGTGCCCTGCATTTCAGGGCTCTGCAGCTCCTAGCATGTACGATAAAGGTCCGCTGTGCGGCCACCCATTTCCCTCAGGGCCTTTCACCTTTCACCTGTGCGGCAGGTGCAGCTCCTCAGGGCCCCAGTGGACTTGCCGGAGTCTGGTGAGCAGGCACCTCTCCTCCCCCATCGCTCCTCCGCCCCGGCTCCTGTGCAGCGCTTTACCATTTCTGGCTTTTTGGTTTTCTTTTTTGAGACAGAGTCTCTCTCTGTGACCCATGCTAGAGTGCAGTGGCATCATTGTAGCTCACTGCAGCCTTGAACTCCTGGGATCAGTGATCCTCCCACCTTGGCCTCCCAGACTGCTAGGATTACAGGAGTGAGCAAGGAGCCTGGCCTCGCAGTTTCTGCTTGAGGCCGTGCTCCATTTGCTGTGGAGTGAATTCCCTGGGCTGTGCCTGGCCAGGGTGGCCGGCCACAAAGAAGACAGCTGCACTGTTGGGGATAAGGCCTGGTTTGGGCGAAGTCCTCAGTGCTGGATTTCTTCTCTCTTGAGGAGGCGTGTGGATGTCCCTTATCGCACCCCCCAGGCAGGACACCGTGATCCTCAGTGTTCACAGGCTGAGCTGGCAAGAGGCTTTGTTTGTCCCCCAGGTGGTGGGTGGTGAGTCTGAGTGAGGGGCGTCTCAGCCCCCCTGCCCCGGGCAGCCCCTTGGCACCTTCTGCAGCTCACCCAGGCCTCCGTCATCCTCCGCCTTTCCCCTAGAGAGGCGGGTGGGCTAAGAGGGGCTCACCCCAGCTCAGCAATGCCCCTTCCCCCTGGCAGAGGGCCCAAACCCATGGTGAGCCCCTGCTGTGTGCACCAGCCCTATCCATATGCCAGCTTGTGACTCCTCACAGCAGCCACATGAGGGGAAACTGAGGAACAGAATCTAAGTGACTTGCCCAGGTGACCTGCTGGTGAGTGACCCTTCTCCTTTCTTACACCAGCCACCTCACTAGCAAGAGCCGGAAGGGCCTCCCAGCTCTGGGTGCAACGCTCTGGGCCAGCCTCATCTACCTTCAGAACCTCACCCCGTCCTCGGGCTCTTTTGGTCTTTGCCGTCTCTTTAGAAGATCACTGAGTTCCTCTGCTTTGCCTCCAAGGCCCCTGGGCAGGGAGGACCTAACCCCAGAATCGGGCCCAGCCCCAAATGCTGCCCCCTTTCCATTGCCTCATGCCCCAGGGGGTCAGAGACCAGGGCTCAAAACACTTGCTTTCAATCTGGGTAATGCAGAGCAGCCCACAGATGACGGAGTCTGTGACTATGTGAGTTTCAGATGAAAGTCGGGAAGCTGATGTGGCTGGTGTGGTTGGTGTGGCTTCTGCCCCCCTGGTGGGGGCAGTGGGCCTGACCTGTCTTGGTCACTGGTCACTGATGTAGGGACAGCCAGCCCTGCCGGCCCTGCACACTCAAGGGCCATGGGGAGGGCGGGGCCCAGAGTATGTGCCCGGAGCAGCTGGTGTGATAAGTTTAATTATTTAGCTCCCCTGTCTGCCCCACAAAGGGGAATGAGGATCAGTTAAAATATACTCGGTAACAACGAGAGCGCGTATTTAAATCACGCTTGCCCCAGCAAGGCACCGTCTAGGTCATTAGCCCACTCGCTGCCTGTGCCTAGGAGGCAGGCACTGTTGCCACCCCATTTTTAAGATGAGCACACCGAGGGAAAGAGGTTGAGTAGGGGGCCCAGGGAGTGCAGCTGGTGAGGGTTAAGTGGGGATTTGAACACAGAGACCATGTGCTCCCCGATGGGCTGCCCATGACCTGGGGCAGAGCACTGACCGTCGCCTGGTGCCTCAGGTCAGCTGTGCCCAGGGAGCCCCGTGTGGCAGGCTCCAGTCCTGGGCCTGGGGCTGAGTGCAGTGCTGGGGACCACCCATGTTGCAGCCCCATCGGGGGCACTCAGGAGAGAGCCCAGTTACTCCTGGGGCAGCAGGAGGGCTGCCCAAATAAAGCACTGCCGGAGCCGCCCATTGGCCTGTGCACTTGGCAAATGGGACCAGAGCTGCCTTGGGGTCCCCTTTCTCTGGCTGCCTTCCAGGATCCCCCTTCTCCTCTTAAGCAAAGTGGGGCAGGAGCTGCACTGGAAAATTCCCTGGGCTGGAACCTCACACTTCCCATCCTGGCTCTGTGGCCTTGGCAAGTCACCTGCCATGTGGGAAGTAGGTCAGAACTTAGAGATGCTTCACCAGATGGGTGAAGAAAGCAGTGACACAGGCTAGAAAGAGACCACAGGGAGGTGCCAGGCTGCCTGACTGGAGCATAGACGAGATGTGTGGATTCCGATTTTGACAGGGCTGAGCTGCCCAAGTCACATGTCCCTGGGCCAGAGCCAGTGCCTGCCTGGCCAGCTCGCAACCCCGCTGATGGGTGAGGGAGCCGTTTCTTCACAGGTGGTTGTGGTAGAGTCCTGTGCCCCTTCTCCTTCCACGGTGTCTTCAGCCCAGAGGGACCTGTTCTGCTCAACACAAGAACAAAGCTGGCCTCTTCACACCTAGTCCTAGCTGACCCAGCAGGCACAGAGAGGGTGGACGTGACTCTGAGCCATGCTCAGCTGCCATCGCAGTGTTCTGCAAGTCTGTGCACCTGGCAGAGAGCCATTTTGTGCAGTGCTGGGGATAAAGGGCTGCGGCAGACATAAAGTGCTCATGGCCGGGGGTAGGCACATTGTGATCCACCAGGGCCTCGTGGGCCCACAGAGGGACTGGCCTGCTGCAGGTGGGAGGAAGAAAAACTATGTTTGGTGAACTCACAGCCCCAGGCTGGGTGCACTGTGGCTGGCATGTGCTAAGCATGCACCTCTGGCACTGAGATCTGCCTGGCCGTCGGTGCCTGGCACGATTAAGGACAGCATCCATCGGGAGCCCTAGGGTGGAGAGGTGTGGCCTTCGGGAAGCACTTCCCCAGTGTTGGCTGAGCAGGCCGGGACAGGAGGCAGCCACTGGGCGAGGGAGGGAGGAAGGGCCTGCCTAGGGCAGAACCTGCCAGGCACCCCGGGTCTGTATCTCCTAGACCCAGGGGAGGGAGCTCAGCTGGGGGCCGCTGTGGGGCCAAGAGGTCTGCTAGGGCAAACAGGGCCTAGAGGGTCAGGGAAAGGAGAGTGGGGATTCTTGTGCATGGGATGGGAGCTGTTAAAGGGATTTGGTTGGGAGATCGTTTTACATCAAAGAGAAACCACCTGGTGCTGTGTGGAGAGGCTGGTGGGAGGCCAAGGGAGCCAGCGAGGAGGCGGTCAGGGAGAGAGGTGCAGCTGGTCTGTGTGGCAGCTGAGGGAGGGGTGGCTGGGCAGGGAGGGGAGGAAGTGAGGGTGGTGTCCAGGTTTCTGGCTGGACCCGCTGGGTGGGTGGTGGTGGCACAGCCTGAGATGGGGGCCTGGGGGCAGTTCCCAGTGGGTCAGGACTCGGGTGCAAGGGTGCCAAGGAGGGGCCGGGGTGCCGAAGCGAACGTGGGAGTGCATGGGCTGGTATGCTGAGCCACACTGCCCTGCGACAGGCATGGCAGTGAGTGGCACACAGTTAGTTGTGCTGTGTGGTCAGGGGGCCAGGCCGTTGATAATCCAGGAATCAGCTTTTTATATCTGTTATTCTGTCCTGACCTGGTCCATCTGATTGCGCTGCTTGTGCTGTGACCCCCAAACCGTAGGCCGACCTGTCGTGAGAACTAGCGGCAGGTCGGGTGTGGCTCACGCAGATGGTTTTCTGAGTCCTTCAGAAACTTGGCCACGTGCCTGTCATGTACTACCTTTAACTTCCTGCTTGGGCACCAAGCCTTGGACATCACCTCCAGGAAGCCTCCTGTCATCAGGATTGATGCTTCCAGTCAGCTGCACGGCTCCTGACCCTGCATGGATGGACCGCAGTCATCCTCCCCTGGTCCCAGGGCAGGGGTCCTACCTCACCCAGCTCGGTGCCTTCGGCTCCTGGCATTCAGACCGGCGTGGGGCCAGTGCTCAGGAAGTGTGTGCTCAGTGGGTGATGGAGGCTGAGTCCACGGCCCCTGCTAGGGGCTGGTAGAAGGGTGATGACCTGGCCTGGACCCCCAGACCACTGTCTGCCTCTGCCCTGCCTCAGCACTCAGCCGGGCCCAGGAAGAGCGAGGATTATGAGGATTGGTCACAAGAACAAGCATCCATCTCGAAAGTTAGGGGGCACCCCTTGGTGCAGGCTGATCCCAGCCACCCCATGTGTGTGACACCCCCTTGGTGAAAGGCCAGTGCCCTGTGCCCAGCCCAGGGATGGTGGCGGCACACAGCACACCTCCTTTCTTTCTGCCTTTCCCCTCAACGCAGCCCCAGGGGATGGTTGTCACCAGAGGAACGGAGACTCTGGAGGCCAAGGAAGTGCCCAGGGCCAGAGAGTAAGGATGCAAGAGGGGCACAGCACCCTGGAGACAGGAGGGTTACGTCATATTTATTTACTACATGTTTAAGATTGCACTCTTCTTTTAAGAGCGTTTGACATGCATCCAAAAATTCTAAAAAATGCCTGAAGCACATCTAGATGGCGCAGCAATGTGAAGACGGAAGCCAGCTGCCTCGTTCCCAGCCGCTCCGGGAGGGTCTCATGCATCGTTGGTGCTGGGACGGAAGCCAGAGGCCTCCCAGCCCCCTCCCCGGGGTGGGTCTGATGCTCTCAGTGTGTGGGAAGACATCACTCCACTCCCTTCCATTTCTACAGAATATCTGCTCAAATTGGGGAGGTGAACTTGGCAGTCAGCCCAGCGTGTGCTGTGTTCTGGGCTGTGCTGGGGTTTAGGGGGACAGAGAGGAAAGATGCAGGCCCTGCTTGGGGTGGCTTCCTCGTGGGACTCCCGTCCGTCTGTCCCTCCATTTGCTCCTTGTGTATAGTCCAGCGTGGTGCTGGAAGCTGGAACCGAGGTGGGTTGTCTAGCCCAGTGGGCATAGAGGGTGCCCACGAAGGCTGGTGGCGCCTGTGAGGCATGAACCAGGTTCCAGCAGGAAAAGGCAGCGGGCTCTGCCCGGAGGCGCCGCGTCCTGGAGCAGGCGCTCCTCACCTAGAGAGCTCACGCACGAGCGCAGGCCGTTTACTAATGAGCGTGGCATTGCGAGGCCTTCAAATGCATGGATCTGTGGAAGATGAATAATTCAAGAGATGGGGGTGTTCTCCATGGATTCCCTCAGCGATAAGGACCTGTCCCTGGTTGTACAGCTCTGATGACTGCTGTTTTGGGATTGATAGGAAGACTTTCAAAAAACAAGTTAGATTCAGGACCCTCTCATTTGCAAGAGGCAGAAACTCACTGTAAACTGGCACAAGCAAAACGAGGCAGAGGGGGCTAATGAGTCCATGTATCTGCATAGTCTAGACTAGTTTGCTTCAGGCATGGCCGCATCCAGGGCTCAGGTGATGTCATCAGGAAGTGCTCTTCCCCTCCCCCCGTGCCACTGCTTTCCTGCATTGCCCTCTTTCTCAGGTGGGCTTTCCCCACAGGCTGGCAGAGCCCTCTGATTGGCCACGTGGGCTTGCGTGCCCTCTGTGCAGCATTTGGGAGAGGGGCAGTGCCACCGAGGCCACAAGGACTGAGAGTAGGGGTGGGTGGTTCCCCGCAAGGAGCATCAAGGAGTGGAGGTTGGGCATGTAAAGTATGTGTTTTGTAATCCTTAGTGGTCCTCACTGACTCAGCCAGCATCTGGAGGTGACCTTGGCACTGGGCAGTAAGCACATTGGGGTTTGCCTTTGCCCATGTGGAGGCTCCTACTTACGTGGATGGACAAAGCCAGGCCCCTCTAACTGGTCTGTGGCAGGAGCCCAGTGTTGGATGGCTGTAGAAACATTTCTGCCGCTGCCAAATGGAAGCTGGAATAACGGAGAAGGTGTTCGTATGTCTCAGACAGACAGTATGTCGGGGAGACTTCTTGAAATGTCAGGCTATGAATAACTTCTGTGAAAAATTAATCACGGACTAGAAGAATCTTTTCAGCCAACAAATGTAGGCTTGAATCTTATGTTCTGATTTTTTTAAAAAAGAGACAATAATGTGACTTATGAATTTAGTTAAGAAAAGAAATTTGAACTCGTGAGAGGTGCCGGAACGTAGAGCACCAGTGATGGCAGCAGCCCTGGGGGTAGCTGAGAGAGATGCGAGTAGGGAGGGAGAAGACCCCTCGCTTAATACAGAGTATCTCGTTTCATCGTAAACCGTCCTGTCGGATTGGTGTTAACGACTGGGTTGGAGTTGCTCCAGAGAGGTGACAGGACCTGTGCTAGGTCACACAGCACCTTACTGTTGAGCGGATGCGTGGAATGAGAGTGTGTCCGTGTTACTTTGGACACACACACTCCTCAGTGAGCCCATAGGAGCGGCCTCCTGCGGCTCAGCGCCTGCAGGCTCTGTGTCTGAGGACGCTGCAGCCTGTTGCTGAGCCCGTGCCGGGAGGCACACTGCAGGGGCTGGGAGGCGATGGCAGCCAGAAGGGAGACTGACCTTGATGGGTTGGGAGCACCAGCACCAAGGTCTGGGGCCGCTGAGAAGGGAGGGTGTCCTCAGTGCTGCTCTGTGGGCCCTGAAGCCATCGCCCCCGAATGTGCAAGGAAGTCAAGCCCTATACCCCTCCCTGTTTACGAGGTGTCCACCACCGGGCTGCGGTGTGTGTGCATCACGCGTGAGGATGCTTTGTGAAGGACGCTTGGAATTCCTCCTTCCCGGAACACACACTTCACCTGTGGGGGCCTCACCTGCCGCCTGCACCTTTGAGTCACCCCAGCCTCCCTCTCCCCTCTCTAAACCAGATGTGACCCCTCCTGCCTTGAGCCTGGCGAGCTTGTGTTGCCCCAGGCCACTTCCCATGCCGCCTCCTACTAGAGTCCTGTCCCTCACAGACTTAGGTGCCCTGCAGGGACCGGGTGCCATTCGGTGCTGCAGAGCCCGGCTCAGAGCCTGGCACAGGCTGGTTCTGGGAAAGCCATGGATGAACTGGACACAGAGGAATGGTCCTTGGTGTGTTGTTCCTGGGGATCATACGTCATTTCTTGTTGTCAGGAAGGTTAGTGCAGCTGGTGTGGTTGTATGAGGCTTTTGTGATTGGGATAACTTTTTACAAAGTAAAATTGAGCGTGAGCCATAGTGATATTGGGTGCTTGGCTTAGTCATCCAACTGGAGAACCTGTGCTAGGAAAATGACTTCCCAAAAGAAAAGTATACACACAGAACGGCTTGTGGCACCATTTTATAAAGTAAAGGATTATGGAGAACAGCATTAAGCCCTGTTGGAGGAAAGGCCCAGCAGCCTGACTGTGTCGCCCAGTGGGTCTTACGGGCCTTGAGGCGGCGAGCTGACTGCAGTGCAGTGTGGGAGTCTGAGAATAGTTCACCACCATGGTCTGGATGTGCTGACATCCTCAGCCCCAATGCGGTGGTGTCAGGAAGCGGGGCATTGGCAGGTGACCAGGCCACGAGGGTGGCGTCCTCTTGCTGGGATTAGTGCCCTTAAAAAAGAGGCCCCAGAGGGCACCCTCCTCCTTCCACTGTGTGAGGACACAGCAAGAAGCCCCATCAACCAAAAGTGGGGCCCTCACCACATGCTGCATCTGTTGGCACCTTGATCTTGGGCTTCCCAGCCTCCAGAACTGAAAGAAATAAACTTCTATTGTTTCTAAGCCAGCCATTCTATGATGTTTTTGTTATAACACCCAAACGAATGAAGACGTTCACTCTTAAGTAAAAACTGTGAATATCAAGATGTATGTACACTGATTGTAACCTCCAAAAAGCATATGTCTGTCAACGACACGATCCTGGAAAACATTAACTTGACTAGTTGGGGTGCTGGGCATTGGGTTCAGGTTCTTATTACTTAGGTCATGGGCTTTCAAACGAGCCCTTGGATCTTTCTAGAGCCTTGGTTAGAGCAGGCCTAAGCCCAGGGGGTGATGGTGGGACTCGGCTCTGTGCCCTTCCTTTCCGTGCCTCCCACCCTAAGAGCTCCGAGTTACCGTTGGAAACCACCCCGCCTGGGTAACATTTGCTGTTTGCTTTGGGGATGTTTGTCAATTGGAAGGCAGATGGTTGCTTTCTAGGCATTTTTTTCTGTCCCTGTGTCTGTCCTCATGCTCCTGGCCTGGACTTTAGAGGGAGAAGTGGCGCCAGGTCTTCTGGAGACCTCTGCTGGTATCCCCGCCACTCCTCTGACATGTGGCAAGGTCTGGCTTGTGACACTGTGTTTGTCTCTTCCATGTCGAAGGGCCTGTAAAGGGAGATGCGGGAATCCCCTTTGAAGAAGTCCTGGAGAAGGCCAAGGCCGGGGACCCCAAGGCGCAGACGGAGGTGAGGACGCGGTGTTGGCAGGGAACTCAGGACTAGCCCCCAGCACGGCGGGCCTGGCCGGGAGCTCTGCAGCCCACAGAGAAGAGTCGGTGCCTGGGAGCGGGCATGGGAGCGTTGTGTGCCCCGCGGTGCACCGAGCTCCGTGCCGGATTCCCATGTTTGCTCTGTTGATTCTTCTCCCTACGCTCCTGTGGGAAGCAGTGCTCATCCCTTGCTCAGCTCATACCTTGTCTTGGGCATTACCTCCTCCTGGTCACCCACCCTGCTTCCTGCCTGTCCTCCCTGTGCCTGGCTTGCTTGGTGCACACACCCCTGCCACTGTGTATGCTGCTCGCTCCTATCTCCCTGCGTGGCCATTAGCTGTGTGCATGGGGCCCCAGAGCAGTGACTGTTTACTTGGGCGTCTGCCAGGGCCCAGGGTTGTGCCAGTGCTGGGTGCAGTGGTGAGCCACATGGACGTGGGCCTCGTCCTCACAGGGTGACAGGTTAGGGGGAGAAGCAGACACAACCAGGTGAACAGACACATTAATAAAATTGTTCTGAATCATGGTAAGGAGAGAAACCCAACAGGATGCTGAGCCAGGAGGTGGCAGAGGGCCTGGTGCCTTCTGTGGGGGCCATCCCAGCCGAGGGCTAACCCTGCACGCCCGGCAGTGCAGACAGAAGAGTGAAGAGCAGAGGCCAAGGCAGGGGGAGCTTGGTGGGTTTCAGGAACCCGAGTGCACGGGGAGAGAGGAGGGAGAGGTGTTAACCTCAGCACGGTCATCATCATCTTATGTCACCCTTACCGTGTCTTCAGAGGTGGTAATTACCACGCCCACTTTTTGGATGAAACTAAGGCAAAGAGAGCTTCAGCGACTTGCCGCCCTGGTTTACACAGCTCTGGTGGTGCAGCCGGGATTCAGGCCCAGTTCGCAGGCTCCAGGACCCACTTCACGGGCCCCTGGCACCACCTTCTAGCCGCGTCCGTGTGCAGATCTCTTGCTGCATTTCTCAGCTTATGGTCTAGAATACCAGAGGGGGTGGGGGAACCCCAAAGTCCAGCCCCCAATGTGGCATGTGGGGAACCTGAGACCCCAGGAGGAGGAAGGGGTGAGCTCCAGGCAGCAGCATTGTGCCTGATGCCTCTGCGTCCCACCTCTGCTTTCACCTCCGGGCCAGCCCTGGGGAGGGTGACCATGCCCACCTTTCCAGAGGACTCGGAGGCTGTATGGACAGGTCCCCAGCAGCCGTTTCTTGCCACGTCACTCTGTATGTCAGAGTGGCTTTTGTATGTGGCTCAAGCAGGTGACCACAGTCATCTGGAGCAATTTCCCACCCTCTCTTTGTCCTAAGGAGGAGGATTTCCTGTAGAACCATAAATGAAGAAGTTTCTTTTTCCTACCTTATGGCCATATTGTACTTGAAAGTTCCTCCTACAGCCTGCCCAGGCATTCAGCAGTTGGAGCACAGCCCTTTGGTGGGCTCTGTCTTTCCTCTGGGCCTCACTTTTTCCATCTGTAGAATGAGAGGATTGGCCCATGTCAGCAAGTGTTTTTTTGCAAAGGGCCAGGTGGTACATATTTTGGACTCCATGTGGTCTCTGCTGTGACTCCTCAGCTTTGCCATGGAGTGCACACATGCAGCATGGCTGCGTTCATGTTCCAGTAAAACTTTATTTACAACAGTAGGCAGTGGGCCAGTTGTGGGCCCATTCCAGCCTCTGGCATGCTGGCCTTTCTGCAGCCCTGACTTTCTGTGGTCCCCTGACTATCTTGAGAGGTGGCAAGTGGGCCCATTGTAACCTGAATTTCCATCCACTGACGGTGCGCCTCAGCGAGTGGTGGGCAGGAGCTGCTGAAGGGGGAAAATCGATAGACTTTGGAGCCTGCAGTCCCCTGTTCTGAGGAAGGGGGTGGCCACGCCTGCGTCACAGCGTTAAAACAAGAACAAGTATCCAGAGGCTCGGTAGGGCCCAGCCTAATGTAGATGCCCAGTGGGACCCCATTCCTGCCCCTTTCTTCTTGTCTGAGTGACAAAGGGTGGTGGGTGAAAGGAGGTGGGCCGGCCGGGATCAAGGGGCAGGAGAGGGTCCGAGAAGCTGGAGGTAGAACGGTGTCTGGCCTGCAGGTGGGGAAACACTACCTGCAGTTAGCCAACGACGCAGATGAAGAACTCAACAACTGCACTGCCGTGGACTGGCTGATCGTGGCTGCAAAGCAGGGCCGGCGGGAGGCCGTCAAGCTGCTTCGCCGGTGCTTGGCGGACAGAAAAGGTGAGTCTGCGTGAGGCTTACTTAGAGCAGCCACCTGAGGGACGAGCAGTTGGTAATGCCACTTACTCACTGAACAACAATAAAATATTAACAACAGGAAAGCTTAATGCTGGCGATGCTGTTGGGAAATGAGCACATTTTCTGTTTTGCTACTGGCTTCGTCATTTTAGATGTTCTAGAGCCTAACTTGGGATCTTTAACAAACTAAGCTATTGTCATTCTCTTTGGCTTGTGTTGGTGTTTCCAACACAAGAAGTTATAGCTCTCTTTTCCACTGGGTTCTGGTCCAAACTGAGCAATAGATCCTGGAGCCAGCTGAGGAGGGTCAGCTTCACAGTGATAAAGCTGGGAACTTTGGTGTGGCCTGCAGTCACAGTGGCTGATACCCTGGAGCTGGCTCTCCATCCAGTCTGGACAGACTACCCAGAGGCCCACAAAGACCTGTGCAGGTGTGTGCACCATGGAATGAAGTGGACTGACCTTTCAAAAGTGGGTGGAGGAAGAGAGGGGAGCAGGCCACTGAGGGGCAGGGGACAGGGTCGTGGGGGGATGCAGCCCTGGCCACATGCGGTCAGTTTTGACATCATCCTGCCCAAGGGTGTGGCTCATCCCTGGGGCCAAGGAGCACTGTGCTTCCTGACGGTTTCAAGCCTCAGGGAAAGATGAAAGTGCGCGTCACCCAGGTGGTTTTTTTTAAATGATGTGTATTTTTTCAGATTGTAATAGTATTTTATGCTTATCATAGAAAACTTGGAATATATAGAAAACGTAAAAATACAAATTGCTCATAACCTTGAAACCCAGAGAGGAGCTCTCTATATTTTGGTATATTTCCTTCTGGTTTTGTGTCATAATATTTTAGGAGTTACATTCATTACATGGAATCTTCTTTCTTTGAGAATTAGAATGATGTTTTTGAAAAAAGAGAGCAGTTGTATTCCATTAGCCAGAATTTCCCACCAAGCCAGCCTCCCGGTTCCGGAGCAGGCGCAATGGCGTGGAGCTGGCTGGAGCGGCCCTCGCAGCTGGTGTCAGGAGCCGGTGGTTCCCACAGGTGCCGGGTAGACGGCCCGAGGGTGCAAGGGGGAAGAGCCGGTGGTTCTCGCAGGTGCTGGGCAGACGGCCCGAGGGTGCAAGGGGGAAGGCAGGGGCGGGCCTCATACGTTCCTCACAGCCCCACACTCTTACGTCGAGCGCTTTCTGATCAGACAAGTAATATGCTCATGTGGAAAGTTTGGGAAAGTGTTGAAAAGGAGAAAAACATGCAGTCCTCCGTGCCAGGTCTTACTGCCCTCTGGGGCGAGCTGTGCTAACGTCTCAGGCCTTTGCAGCTGAAGCAAGGAAGATGGCTGCTGACCCGCTTTAGACCCTGGTCACCCTCTCCCCCCGTGGCCGGTCTCTATGCGGAGGGCCCAAGCCCACGAAGCGTGCTAGAAACAGGGACAGCCCCGCCATTGCACCTGGGTGGTCCCTGCAGTGAGACTGGGCCAGGTGCAGACAGCACTGCCTCTGGCCCTGGGGAGCCAGTTCCCCACTGTTCCTCCATGTCTGCGCCTACACGCTGCGGGTGGCAGCAGCTCCTGTGAGGGTCCCATGGGGGTGAAAGGGGAATGTGAGCGGAAGACATAGCAAGTCTTTCACACTCAGTGGACACACGGGCGTCCGCTGCAAGGCCAGCTGGGCCTCCAGCCTGGGGCGTGGGCACTGGCAGGGGCTTTGCGCAGATGTCCCGTTGGGTCAAATGTCCATCCTACCCTGGTAACCAAAGGCCCTGACAGACCTCTCATGAGTCTCCCTCCCAAGTCCTTCCAGACAGAGCTGGCTGGGACCTGGAGCAGCACTGACAGCGGCAGGCAGGGGAACAAGGTCCTTACTGCCTCCCGTCTGGCAGGCATCACATCCGAGAACGAGCAGGAGGTGCGGCAGCTTTCCTCCGAGACCGACCTGGAGAGGGCCGTGCGCAAGGCAGCCCTGGTCATGTACTGGAAACTCAACCCCAAGAAGAAGAAGCAGGTGGCCGTGTCAGAGCTGCTGGAGAACGTCGGTCAGGTCAATGAGCATGGTATGCAGCCAGGTCTCGGTGCTGCGCTGCCCCGTGGGCACTAGGGCCTTGCCCTGGGGACTGGGTCCTTCCCATAGGGACTGGGCCCCTGCAGGGAGCTGGGCAGTTGTCACTGACAGTAGGTCGGCATCAGCCTGGCTCAGGTGCTCATTCATCGAACAAACCAAAGAGGGTGGTACGCCGGTGCCCTGACCACACCCACAGATGGACGGACTGAGTCCGTCACCGAGTGGGAGCACCCAGGCGGCACTGTATCCAGCGTAGTTGCTGGAGGCACAGAGGTGGCTTTCCAGAGGAGTGGCCTCGCACTGCCAAGGGATGCAGTAGAGGCCCCAGGCCTGTGGTCCCCAGAACTCAGGACACCCCAGGAGCCTACAGTCCAGTTTTTGGCGGGTTGCAGGGCACAACAAGGTGACAGCCTGCCTGACTCTCAGTCTACCCTGTCCCCTGCAGATGGAGGGGCGCAGCCAGGCCCTGTCCCCAAGTCCCTGCAGAAACAGAGGCGGATGCTGGAGCGCCTGGTCAGCAGTGAGTGTGAGTCCGGCCCCCCACCCCGCCCACCACCCACACAGTGTCCACTCCTTCCTGTGCGTCCCAGGCCTGGGCCCCACCAGGGTCTCAGTCCATCTGGGTGTCAGTGTTCTGAGTGCTGGGATCTAGGCTCTGCCTGCTGGGAGTGCACATGCTGGAGGGAAGGCAGACATAGTGGACCACGGCATGACAGTCCCTGCTAGACAGAGAAGTGCTGGGAAGGGGGCATTGGCTCCGTGGATGGCGAGGGGAGGGAGCTGTAGGTGGAGGGAATGGCAGGAGCACAGCCCTGTGGGCCTTCATGGGGCAGAGGATGGAAGGGTAGAGCACGTATCAGGGGGACAGAGGTTTGGGGGCACAACAAACTGGGGTGCCTTTGGGATGTCTGGGGTCAAAGAATTAGAGGAGACTTTCACACCCTCCATGTGTAGCTGCCAGCCTGAGCATCGCTCCGCCCATGTCGGGTGGGCTCTGGTCTAGGGGACTCCGGGCTCCATCCCAAAGAAAACAGGTGGGGGACCTCCGGATTTACTCAGCATTAACAGGGGACCTGTGGGAAAGACCAGGCCTGCCATGGACTCCTCTTGTGACCTTGGGCAGGTCTCGTTTTTGTCTCTGGGTCTCAATTTCCCCTTCTGAACAGTGAGCTGGCCAGATCAGCCCTCCTGCCCTGGTAGGATCAGCACCGCCAGCCTGTGGGTCTCCCCCTACCCCCCCCACTCTCAAGGACATGGCTCCAGCACCCCACTGGGTTCCCTTCGACGGGAGCGTTTCCATCCAGTGCCACCATGTTCTCTGCCGTGCTTTCCAGTGAACGCCCAGGAAGGCCCGTCTGTGTCACCATCTCAGATTCTATCTTCCTGCACTCGCTTGGGCTTCCCCCTGCCGTCCCACCACATGGCCTGACCAAGCCACCAGTGACCCCCTTGCCAGGTCACTTCCTGTCCTCATCTGACTTGATCTGTGGGCAGAGGTGGCCACCGTTCCTCCTTAAAGCCCTCTCAGTCTGGCCTGCAGGGTTCCTGGCCCAGGGCCCTTGCTGCCATGCTGGCTGCTCTTCCTCAGTGTCCTGAGACCAATTTCCTGTCTCCTGACCCTCTGGACATGGACACTGCACCCAGGGACACATCCACACTTGCTGCTTTGGTGACCAGTCCCATGTGTCAGATGTCATCTGTGACCCCCGGGCACACAGCCCCGCCTAGGCCTCCCCCGACACCTGCCACCCGAGTGGGCCCCCAAGGCTTCTGTGCCTCTTTGTGGGCGCTGCATACTGCATGCACCCACCCCGATCCCTCAGGAGGTCCTGTCAGCTGCACGTGCTCCCCATCGTCACTGCCGCTGTCGTGAACCCAGCCTGTAACCTCTTCCCAGTGTTTCTGCAGCACTCCGGACTGCTGTCCCTGTGCCCCGCCCCCCACCCCAGCACCGCCCTTTCTTTCACATCCTTCCCACAGAGGCCCTCTGGGACATCCTCTCACCCACGGCAGCCGGGGGCCTGCCAGGGCCCCATTCCCTCCTGTGGATCCTGTTGGGTGGAGGGGTTAGTAGGCGCGTAGTAGGCCCTCGGTAGATCCCGTTGAGTGGAGGGGTTAGAAGGCTATAGTAGGCCCTTGGTAGATCCCGTTGAGTGGAGGGGTTAGAAGGCTATAGTAGGCCCTTGGTAGATCCTGTTGAGTGGAGGGGTTAGAAGGCCATAGTAGGCCCTCGGTAGATCCTGGTGGGTGGAGGGGTTAGCAGGTGGCTGGCCAACAGGGCAGCTTGTCACCAGTGCTGGCTCGAGGGAGAGATAGGTGTCGGCAAGGGCTAGAGACGCAGGCTGTTGAAGGCTTGGCCCGGGAGTCAGTAGCTAGGGAGGGAGGGGTGCTGGAGGTGGGGCTCCAGGGCTGGGGACGTGGCGGGGGAGGCTGGAGCTTGGCAGACCTGCCCCTTCTTTCCCCACCAGCCTGGTCCCCTCCATCAGGCCACCCAGAGAAGGTTTCCCCCACCTGAACTCACTCAGCTCCTCCTTAGCTTGGTCTCAAGCCACTGCCCACCCCATCCCTCCACGTGAGTGTGACAGGGGCCTGCAACTTAGGGGGACTCCATGCTGTTTCTCTTGTGCTTCAGCCAAGAACTATATCGCACTGGACGACTTTGTGGAGGTCACCAAGAAGTATGCTAAGGGCATCATCCCCACCAACCTGTTCCTGCAGGACGATGACGACGATGAGCTGGCAGGAAAGAGCCCCGAGGACCTGCCGCTGCGCCTGAGGGTGAGTGGGTGAGACCCTGGAGCGCCAGCCCTCGCTTCCCAGGGTGCATGCACCTGTCCTTGCCAGGCACCCCTGGAGCTTTCCTGGAAGCTGTGGGTGGGAAGGTCCTTGCCTAAGAGAGTGTCCTGGAACTGTGCCTCTTGTCCCTCGAGAGGTCCTCTGTCCCCGAGTAAGGACATATCCTCAGGAGGAAGGCCTTTCTTACAGTCAGGCCCAGAAACCTGGGGTGCCGAGCGCTGGGGCCCTCTGAACTTCCCGTGAAAGCAGCGTTGGGGGCAGGCTGGGAGGATCAGAGGCAGACTTTGATTTGGACTTTGTCACTTAGAAAAATTACCTATTTATGACCCAGACTGGAGGTTAGTGCCTCGAAGATGCCCTCACCCCAAAGTGCTGGTGTCCATCAGGCCAGGGAGGACATGTGGAGGCGCCTGCTGACCCCCGGGCTGTGGAGGTGCAGGGAGAGAGGCCAAGTATGGGGAGATGGCAGGCAGCACCTGTGGGGGGTGACGACAGGCACACCTGGAGGACACGAGTAGCCGTGCAGCAGGGAGTGAGGCAGGAGCAGAATGCCCAGAGGCACGGACCCTGCCCCAGGCTTGCTAGCTTGTTTTCTTGGCCACGTGGCTGGGCTGTAGGTGCAGCACGTGATGTGGCCCCACGGCCTCTCACAAGTTACCCCAGTTCAGCTCAGCTGGATGAATTACACGTGTCCGTATCTGACTCTCTGGAGAACATCGGGATTTTCGGAAGTTCAGCCGCCCGACCCAGACAGGTGCATCGGTGCGTCAGCACACTGTGGCCAAGAAGGCTGAGGCCAGCGCAGGGGACCCTAGCACAGTCATCACACTGCCTGTGAGCAGTAGTCGTGCAAGCGTTTCACGGCTTCTGCGTCTTCTTAACTCACCGAGGCCCTGGAGGAATTACCGTCGGTGTCCGATGGGCACGTGAGTCAGGGTCGGGGACAGATGGCTGAAAGGGCGCCATGCCAGAGCCAGGAGTGTGGAGAGGGTCAAGGCAGGCCGCACTCCAGCGGGCAGGGCAGGAACCACAGTGCTTCGGGAAAGGCCGCAGCCCAAAGCAGCGGGCGGACGCCCTGCGCCGGGGACTGGGAGCCCAGCTGAGGACCGCACGTGAGCTCCCTTGGAGCAGAAAATGAAAAGCCGCGCCCTTCCCACTGAGGACAGTTGTGTCCAGGGTGAGAAACTGGCCTCGTTGTGGGGTTCTGAGACGCAAGCCAGGATGGCCAAGAACGTGAAGCCAGGGAGCCGGCGGACGTTCCGGTGGTCCACTCAGAGCTGGCCCCGACAGGCGCCCTCACAGATAGCTGCTGCCATCTCCTTACTGACTTGAGAGGAGGGGGCTGCACACTTGCCATGGTTTTCGCAAAGAGGACGTGCTGCCCCACTTGCCAGCGAGGGCCAAAGGTAAAAGGGTAAGTTGTAGAAGACCCTTGGGACACGAGGCCGTGGCCCAGGTGTCCCCTTACATCCGGCGTAAGTACTCTTACTGCCTCCTTCCAAACGCATCCTGCGTGGAGGGTAAATTCTATGTCACCCACTGACGGGCGATGAGTTCAGTGCTGTGAAATATCTGAAAGTCCTTTTTAGAAGGGAGAGATTTAAAGTATTCTGACAAGCAACAAACAAGGCTCTGTTTCCTTTCAGATTTTGAAACTGTCAGAGCACTTCGATTCATTTTGCAATTTGTCTCATTAAAAGGCGTTTGCAAAAGGGAGATAATGAATCATCACAAGCGTCTCCCAAAGCTGAAAGCTGTTCCAGCTTTTAATAGCCTTTCTGAGAACAAAGAACAGGGAACATACTTCTGAGAGGTCTTCTTCACCCAAGTGAAGAACGACAGACGCCTCTTAGCGAGCTAACGTTACGCCCACAGAGAATGTTCCAGACTGCAGGCAGTGCTCTTCTCAAGCCTGAAGTGCAAGGTGCCTTGACAGATAAAACCCTCTGAGAAATAAATTCAGTAATGTTTTAAAATCCTGAAATTTTTTACATTAAATTATTGGAAAGTTGAACATGTGAGCATTTTGCAAACAGGTTTGGGAGCATCTTGTTTAAGTTTCCTGCCCCAGTGGTAGCTGACGCAGGCCCTGCTCCGCCGCCGCCCGCGGTGACACTCTGTCCCTGGTCTCCTTCGTCGGCAGAGGGGTGGTCACCTCGGGCCTGGACAGACCGCTCTTCACTGTTCTATTCGTGGAACCAGATTCGTTACTCAGATTCCTTTAATTTCATTGTTCTTCCATCTCCAAGAAGAGTGTATTTCAATTTGTTTGGACATTCTCTACAGGAAAGGAGACGAAGCCTTTTAATCCTGCAGTTTGGTGCAGCCCAAGAGGCAGGGCTTGGGTGGAAGCTGCAGGATGCAGAGATTGGGCCCTTACAAAGGAGACCGCTCCCTGGTAATCGAGCCCAGGTGTGGGGCCGGCCCCCCACTGTGTCTAAGGGTGGACGCCATTGGACATCATGTTCTAGAAGCTTCCTTTTAAACGCTGTTTTAATCGGGTGGTTCTGTGGCCCCACAGTCAAATTGGTGCACAGCTCTGAGTAAGACAGGATTCCAGATAACTTTAACAGCAGGCTGGGGACACATCCGGTTGTTCTGCTGTTAGCAAGGTCCCCGTTACAGGGATTAACCAGGCAGGCGGCCGGCTGACGCACACATTGACTCACTTCGTAGCTGTTGATCTCAGCCGTCTGGCCTGGCGTCAGAGCGAAGGGGCTCCTCCCCAAGAATCCCTGGAGGAGGCTGGTTTTCGTCAGACATCCTCGCAGGCGTGGGCAGCTCTGCTCATGGAGACTGGTGGCCCCAGAGAGAGCTGGGGCACTGTTAGCTGGTTGAGTCATCTATTTGCTGGTTGTAAGCAGGGATTAAGTGGACTGCATGTAAGAAGCAGCAAAGCTATTTAGCCACACGCATGTGTAGACGTGTGCACGTACACTCGTCCCTAAACATCTCAGTCTCCTTCACGAGCCCAGCCCCTCTCGTCTCCGGAAAACCCAGTCCTCCAGCTGCTTCCAGGGGTTCTAGGCATCTCGATTGGCGGCCAGGGCTCTTGGCAAATGAGGCCACATTCTGGTGTTGTCACTGGTTACTGTTCACCTGAAATTCCTCCTAGCCCTCCATGGGCTGGAGAGAGCCTGCCCAAGGGGTGGGAGAGGCCGGCTGCCCCTGGCCCTGCACTGATGGGGTGTCCGGCTGCCTCTTCCTGTGCCTTGGTGCTCAGGCCTGGCTCTGTCGCACAGCCCCTCGGTGGGCTCTGGATGCACAAGGGCTCCACTTGGAGTTGGTCCAGGCTCCTCACCCTCTGGAGACACTCAGACCCCACCCTGCACTACATGCCACACAGCATGACAACTGGCACCTTCCACGCTGCTTTCTTATCTCGCCCCCTCCAATCTCCCCATCTCCCCCATGCCCTGGCAAGGCCAACAGCCCCCAGAGTTCTGCACAGACCAGGTGGACTTGGGCGCTGCCCTGGGTGCAGAATCACCACCTGCTTCCTAGGCTGCTCCCCTCTTGCTCCCTGCAGCCCCTCGTTCCCCTTTGCCATGGTAATGACCTTTGCTCAGCCTACAGGGTGGGCAGGGGGACCCACAGGTAGGGAGGGGAGGGCCACCTTTGACTGTGGCTGTGGGGGGCTGTGTGTCTGAGGTCAGCAGTATGGGGGACATGTGCTCGTGTGCATGTGCATGTATGTAGGGTGGGTGTGCACACGTGTATGTGTGCGTGATCGTGTAAGTGTGAGGGGTGGGTGTGTAACTGTGAGCGTGCATGTGCATGTAGCGGTGGCCAGTGGTGGGCGGCTGCTGCTCATCCGGCTGCCCTGTTAAGCCAAAGCATCTCCTCGCGCCGTCCACGTTTGCGCTGAACTCTTCCTCCAGTGCCTGCTCTGCCTGCCCTCCTGGGACTGCTCACAGCTGCCCCTCTTTAGAGACCGGCCTAGTCTTGTGCAGTGATGGTCACCGTGCCCCTTACTGCAGGGCCAGGGAGGTGACATCCTTGCTGCAGTGGACAGCTGAGATGCAAAGCCAGCGCCCAGACAGGCGCCCAACATGGCTCTGTTGTCTCTTCAAGCAGGAGGCCCTGAGGGGAGGGAAGCCGGAAGCTGGGTGGGTCCCTCCAGGTACTGGAGGTCTGACACGGGAGGCGAGCACTCATGAGCCTGGCCACCCTGGCAGAAGGTGGGGAGCCAGGCATGGGGAGGGGTCAGAGAAGGGCTCCGGCCCAGAAGCGGGAGGGCCGACCTGCAGGGTGGGGTGGATTGAGGGAAGGGCTGTAAGGACTGCAGAGCATGGGGAGGGCCATCTGGGGAAGGGTGTGACAGGTGGGAGGACCACTGGGACAGGGCTGGCAGTGGGGGAACGCAGAGGCGGGTCCATGTTGCCCAGAGCCAGGGTGGCTGGAGGGAGGCATGTGGCAGGGGCGGCTGAACATGACTGGGTGCAGTTGTGTCCCGGCCTGGTTCCAATGCAGTGTCCACCCCACAGGTGGTCAAGTACCCCCTGCACGCCATCATGGAGATCAAAGAGTACCTGATTGACGTGGCCTCCCGGGCGGGCATGCACTGGCTGTCCACTATCGTCCCCACGCACCACATCAACGCTCTAATCTTCTTCTTCATCATCAGCAACCTGACCATCGACTTCTTCGCCTTCTTCATCCCGCTGGTGGTCTTCTACCTGTCCTTCATCTCCATGGTGATCTGCACCCTCAAAGTGTTCCAGGACAGCAAGGCCTGGGAGAACTTCCGCACCCTCACTGACCTGCTGCTGCGCTTCGAGCCCAACCTGGACGTGGAGCAGGCCGAGGTCAACTTCGGCTGGAACCACCTGGAGCCCTACGCCCACTTCCTGCTGTCCGTCTTCTTCGTCATCTTCTCCTTCCCCCTGGCCAGCAAGGACTGCATCCCCTGCTCGGAGCTGGCCGTCATCGCCACCTTCTTCACCGTGACCAGCTACCTGAGCCTGAGCACCCACGCAGAGCCCTACACCCGCAGGGCCCTGGTCACCGAGGTGGCTGCTGGCCTGCTGTCCCTGCTGCCCTCTGTGCCCCTGGACGGGCACTATGTGAAGATCCTTGGCCAGACCTTCCTCACCGTGCCCATCGGCCACCTGGTCGTCCTAAACATCAGCGTCCCCTGCCTGCTGTATGTCTACCTGCTCTACCTCTTCTTCCGCATGGCCCAGCTGCGGAATTTCAAGGGCACCTACTGCTACCTGGTGCCCTACCTGGTCTGCTTCATGTGGTGCGAGCTCTCCGTGGTCATCTTGCTGGAGTCCACTGGGCTGGGGCTGGTCCGAGCGTCCGTCGGCTACTTCCTCTTCCTCTTTGCCCTGCCCATCCTGGTGGCCGGCCTGACCCTCGTGGGCGTGCTGCAGTTCGCCCGGTGGTTCGTGTCCCTGGAGCTCACCAAGATCGCAGTCACCATGGCTGTCTGCAGCATCCCCCTGCTGGTCCGCTGGTGGACCAAGGCCAACTTCTCGGTGGTGGGGATGGTGAAGTCCCTGACGCGGAGCTCCGTCGTCAAGCTGATCCTGGTGTGGCTCACGGCCATCATGCTCTTCTGCTGGTTCTACGTGTACCGCTCGGAGGGCATGAAGGTCTACAACTCCACGCTGACCTGGCAGCAGTATGGCGCACTGTGCGGGCCGCGGGCCTGGAAGGAGACCAACATGGCACGCACCCAGATCCTCTGCAGCCACCTGGAGGGCCACAGGGTCACATGGACGGGCCGCTTCAAGTATGTCCGGGTGACCGAAATCGACAACAGCGCCGAGTCAGCCATCAACATGCTGCCCTTCTTCATCGGCGACTGGATGCGCTGCCTCTATGGCGAGGCCTACCCCGCCTGCAGCCCCGGCAACACCTCCACGGCCGAGGAGGAGCTCTGCCGCCTGAAGCTCCTGGCCAAGCACCCCTGCCACATCAAGAGGTTCGACCGCTACAAGTTCGAGATCACCGTGGGCATGCCCTACAGCAGCGCCGCCAACGGCAGCCGCAGCCGGGAGGAGGACGACGTCACCAAGGACATCGTGTTGCGGGCCAGCAGCGAGTTCAAGAGCGTGCTGCTCAACCTGCGCCAGGGCAGCCTCATCGAGTTCAGCACCATCCTCGAGGGCCGCCTGGGTAGCAAGTGGCCCGTCTTCGAGCTCAAGGCCATCAGCTGTCTCAACTGCATGGCCCAGCTCTCACCAGCCAAGCGGCACGTGAAGATCGAGCGCGACTGGCGCAGCACTGTGCACGGCGCCGTCAAGTTCGCCTTTGACTTCTTCTTCTTCCCGTTCCTGTCGGCAGCGTGAGGACGCGTCCACTGGCCGGAGGGGGTCCCGGTGCATGCTGCTGTGAGGACTTCCCCAGTGTGGCCCCAGCCAGATGGGAGCACGCTGATGCTGTGTGTGTGCGTGTGCTCGAGTGTGCAGACCCAGGGCTTCCGAGACCTTTGCTTGTGCATGGACTGCTCAGACCCCACCAGTGAAGGGTGACACCGTTTAGCCGTCCACTCTGGACACCAGGCGTGGCTGGGAAGTGCATGCCGTGCCCACCCCAACCCCAAGCTTTACGAGTGAAGCAGGCGTGCCAGGCTAGACTAGAAAGATCCCTGCGTCCCGAAAAGCACTTTACAAACAAGTTTCTCCCTCCTTCCCCCAACCTCTACGCACTCTGCTGTCCCTGTTTACTTCTGTGTTGGATTGTTTTTTTAAGAACCAAATATGCGTCTGTGTAAACTGCACAGCAGCATTTCTTGTTTCTTTGGTCACTGCCAAGCCTTGACAACTGTTGGCCTTTCCTGGGGGATGTGCACAGCTGCCCGAGCCTGTCACATGGTCAAGGCCTGGCCCGATCCTGCCAGTTGGAGGCTGGGTGAGGGGGCTCTGGGCAGAGTGTGTCCGAGCTGAGCTCTGGCACCGCAGGCTGTCTCGGGGCCTCCTCTGCAGTGGGCAGGGGTGAGTTTGTGAGGGTCTTGCCTGAATCCACCAGGACTCGGGAAACAACCCTGGGGCGTCCTGTCCAGCACGCGGAGGAGCCTACGTGTTCCGTGCCATAGAGCAGAAAGTCCTAAAGTGGTTGAAATAAAAGCCTCTGGTGAAATCTATAGTTCTTTTCTTCTTTTCTTTATTTAAAAGAAGGCTCATACATCCATGAGAATCAACACTGTCTACACACATACTGAATGAAACACAAGTACAGTTTGGGTCACGGAAGAGCAGGACTGCTGTTCATGTAGTTGACACCCCCTGCCTCCACGTCCTACACGAGGGGCCCCGCGGTGCCTGCCCTAACCGTTGGGCTGCCTGTGGCGGCTGCCCGTGGCGACACGTCTGTGCTGCAGGCGCCATGCACTGTCAGTCAGCCCGGCTGTAGACTCGGACCTTACTGGATGGGAAGTACATAGTCACAGTTATTTTTGAAATTCTAATCCCTAATGAAATGGGCAGTGTGGGGCTGCCACGGTGTACAGGAACGTGTTTGTGAAACTGTCTCCTGCATTCATTCAAGAACGTACAGTGATGGCCCTATAGACTTACAATCAGAACTTGTCGTTGGGGGGAGCTGGAGCAGCTGGGGCCCCTGAGTAGACTTCGCCCCTCTTGGGGGCCTGTGTGTCCGCCTTAGGCCCTCAGGTCTTCAGTTTCTTCCCTGGGGCGAGGATACGCTGGCACCCCTGCTGCCCCACCACAGCTCCTTTTTTTGCTGTGGTTGGGAACCTCGGGTTGTCGCACTGCTGCAGTTGGCCACCTTGCCTTGACCATTCAGCATATGGCTGTCTCCATTTTCCTCGGACGTTGCTCATGGCACCTAGTGGGTGGCAGCTGCACCCCGCCCTGTTCACTTACCCCGGTTTGCCCCTCTGCCTGGGGGTCTGTGTGAAGTCCCGTGTGCTGGGTGCCAGGAGGTGTCATCGCTCTGTGCTGTGTATTTGCTCCTGGGTTTCTTTCCCAGGCAGTGAGATGAGGTTTAAAGTTCAGCTCTATGCTCTCTCCCTGTCCTGCAGACCTGAGGCCATGAATGGTGGTCCCCATTGGACTCTCCCCCACCCCCAGCCCTGGGCTCCCCACTGGTCATCCGGAGAGGAGGAAGGTACCCGGCAGCCCCGTCCACAGAGGAGAAAATAGGTCCAGAGGGGAGGTGCACGTTAGCAGCAGGGCCAGGGTGGGCTCTCATGTTGCAGTCTCATGGGGAGAGCTCTGGACTGAGCACGGGGGCCAGGTTCTAATTCTCATTCTGCCACACACCCCAGCCTGACCAGGAGCCATTCAGCACCCATCCCCAGGCCTCAGTGTCCCCATCTGTACAGTGGGAAGTCTGGGCTGGGTCAGTGGTTTTCAACACTCGTTAGCAATAACACCTTTTTAAAGAAATGAGAGGCACGGAGCTGCAGTCTCTAGTGAGAAAAGGGCTGTTCGTTAAGTGCGACATACACAGGTGAGGACAGGACTCCAGCTGCCTGGATCTGAATCTGCCACTTCTGTGCCTTCCCAGCTCCGTGACCTGGGGCAAGTTCCAGCTTTCCAGGCCTCGGCTTCCTCACCTATAGAATGGGGGTATAACAGGAGCTACCTCATCTGTTGTTTCAAGGATTAAATGAGGTGGTAAGAACAGTGTCTGGAACTAGTAAATGCTCTATAAACGTTTGCTAATTTTAAAAAAGCATTTGCGGAACTTAAGATCCAACTAAGAACCTTTAGACAGTCTCTCCCCAAAGGAACTGTAAAGTCCTTGCTAGCTGTGGAAGAACTTAAATTTTGCAATGACAACCCCATTTAGGCTGGAACCGATCCTAATCGGAGTGGCTGAGTCCAAACAGGGCTGAATGTCTTGCACTGTGGTGTCCACACAACCCCCCACACCCCCAGAATGCAATGGTCCTGCCCTTCGCCTGCGTCAGGGATTGATGGCTACACATCCAGAAAGGCTTGGCCAGCACCTGGGACTTACCATTGAAAGCATTCCTTGTTTACCTTGACTAGTCAGCCTCAAATGCAGCCACTGCCATCCTAGAACAAATATTTACCAAGACGCTAATTCCCGTGTGAGTCAAACCAGGTCCCAGCCTCAGGAAAATCACAGCCCAGGGTGGGGGTGGGGAGATAAGACAGACCCCATGGCCCCAGCTCAGAGCAGACCATGCTGGGGGAGCCCAGAGGAGGGAGTAGACGTCCTGCCTGGGGTCCGAGAGAGAGGCCGGGAAGCCAGGGGAGGAACGGGACCTGGGGAGGTGACGAAGGATGAGGACATCTAGTGTTTAAGGCCAGCTGCTGGGGAGGCACTTAAGGAATTTGGCCTTTGTCCTGTAGACTCAAACCAGGGCCCTGGGAAGGTCAGGGCTGAGCCGGGGAGGAACACGCTGGGAGCCATGGTTCTGGAGACAGCCTCTGTGGACAGCTTCGATGGAGCAGTGAGTGGGGACAATGCCCTCAGCCCTGTGCTCCTGTAGCGTCCTCTCCTGTTGACGGACGGCCGCTGCCTCCCTGCTCGTGCTTACAGGAGCGACCCCAGTCCCCTCCAGGGGGAGGGACTCAGGTTCCTGAGTGCACAGTGGGTCTGGCGCTTCATTTATGTTGGGTCATTTGGCCCTCACAGCTGGGTCCCATGTCCCCACCCCCTGGCATTTTACAAATGAAGATTCCTAATGGCTCGAGAGGTGAGCAACTTGTCCAGAGTCACATGGCTAGGAGGTAGCAGGGCTGGGATGGGACCAAAGCCTGTTCTTTCTCCTGGGCCATGAAGAAATCAGCATTTTCCTGGGTCTTACGGAGAGGCTATTCGGGGACCTCCCAGGAAAGAACCTGCTGTCTTTGAGGACAGCCATCATTTGACACCAGGTGCTGGGCACCCTGGGCTGGGCCTTTACCCCGAGGGGCTGTGGGACACCCAGGGAGGGTCTGTGGCACGTGTGGGAATCTCACTTCGCTTCCATAAAGTGGCAGCGTTTGAGCAGCTCAGGGAAGACCCGGCTGAGCGGCGCCGTCTCGAGCACTGGGAGAGGTCCTCTGGAAGTTCCCCTTCCCAGCACCCCAGAGGTGTTGCTTCACAGCCTGCACCATCTGTTCTTGGGTGGTGGGTTCTCAGAGCCCACCTGCCTGGCCTGCTCTACACACCAGTCATTCGGGGTCAGTCGCTGACGCGCTGTGCCACTCCCTCATCCCGCGCCATACGGGTACACCCCCAAGGGACAGAAACCCTCATTTCTGCAGGTGCCCACCGCGCAGGGCCTGCAGACAGATCTGTAACCATCCCACCTGCTGACCTGCAGGACGGGGTGTTGGGATTACACCAACTGTCACTGTCCCTCTCCCATCCCATCAGGCTCAGCGGCCAGGCCCGTGGTGACTGGTGCTTCCTGTTTATGCAAAGACAACGCTCGTTCATTAAAATTATCGAGAGCCTGCGGTGTGCTCTGCTCTCCCGGGGCGCAGGGCGTGGCAGTGAGCAGGGCAGGGTCCCTCCCTGGGGGGTGTTTCTGGGGACCTGGTGATTGGAGAAAAGTGCCACGGTGTCCACCAGGAGCATTCTGGATGCTCGTCCAGTCATGAGCATTAATGGAGTGCCCACGGGATGCTGGACACGAGGAAGCCATCTTCCTGGTTAACCATCCCGGCACCGTTGCACGGTGGGCATTTCCATTCTGGAGAGTGCGGCTGGCGGAACCACAGCCCCCAAAGACATCCACATCCTGATCTCCCAAACCTGTGCGTATGTTCCCTTGCATGGCAGAAACGTCACTGCACATGGAAGTCAGTTAAAGATCTTGAGATGGGGGAGATTACTCTGGGCTCCCCTGTCCGGGTGGGCCCAGTGTAATCGCAAGCTCCTTGCAAGCGGCAGACAGGAGGGCCGGAGTGACAGGGATCAGAAGACGCCGCGCTGCTGGCTTTGAGCCAAGGAAGGGCCGTGAGCCGAGGAACACAGGTGCCTCTGGAAGCTGCGAAAGGCGAGGAGATGGTCCCCTGGATCCTCTAGAAGGAGCCAGCCCTGATGGCACCTGGATTGGAACCCAGTGAGACCTGCACCAGATTTCTGGCCTCTGGAACTGCTAAGAGAATAAATTTGTGTTGGTTTAAGTTGCTAAGTTTGTGGTCATTCATTACAGGAGCCACAGGAAACTAGTACAAAATGAAATAGGTCTGGGGAGGTTAGTGTTCTCCCCGACACCCAGGCACCTCAGTGTCGATGGGAGTGGGATCCAAGCCACCCTGCTGACCCAGAGCCCAATATTCTTTCTTTTTTTAAGAGACAGGGTGTCACTCTGTTGCCCAGGCTGGAGTGCAGTGGTGTCATTGTAGCTCACTGCAGCCTCAAACTCCTAGACTCAAGTGATCCTCCTGCCTCAGCCTCCCGAGTGGCTGGAAACACAGATGTGTGCCACCATGCCTGGCTAATTTTTTAATTTTTTGTAGAGACAGAATCTCATTATGTTGCCCAGGCTGGTCTCAAACTCCTTCCACCTTGGCCAAAGTTTGTTTTCAACTGAAGCTGGAGTGCACATTTATAGCCTGTCAACACGAGGGGGTGTGAAGCTGGTCTCCCGAGATGCCACGACTGACTTGTCAGGTGACAGGTGTGTCCTGATGCAGGTCCCCAGAGAACGGGAGATTCTCAGGAGCCTCTGACCTCTCCTGGCACTAGGGTGGAATGGGGAATACATGATGTGAAAATATGAATGGATGAAAAAAACATGGACAGTCGTCACTTCTAGAAAGCAAAGAATATATAAGGATATTCTTAAAGGGTACTCAGTCACATTCTTATAAAATGTTGGCAAGAGAAGTACCCAATTATCTTTACCTGTTTGTACACCCAACCACCCAAATTTTAAAAAGCGTCCTTGGGAATTTAACTCACTGTCTTAAAAATAAAAAACGTCTGAACTGTCCTTTGTGTGGGATAAATCTCCAGGTGGGTTCGGGGCCCCACACACTGTACCTGCTGTTCACAGTGCTCTGTCTTCTTGGCCAATTTCTGCTGTTGGACTTTTATCCCTTCTAATTCTCTGACCTAAGCCTGGACCCAAACATCCCCTTGGTTCCCTATTATACACCTAAGCCAGGTAAGACGTTCGGCCAGGGCTAGGGAAGGATGGCCGGGAATAG